AAAAAAAAAATAATAATATTAATCTTTCTCCAGCCATACACTCTCTTCTGGTCCATGACCTTTGACTCCTTGCACCAGCCACTGGTTTTGTTCAGGTGACCACAAACAGCTGACATTGTCAGTTTCTTGTGTACACAGTTCACACTGTATTGCACCAATCAGTCAATATAATAAATTGCAATTGGCATTAATTACATTGGTGACGTGATGACCGCAGTGTCAACACAATGACAACTGTGCAAACTCCATTCGCTAGTGACCATGAAATGTGGTTGAAAGCCATAATCACAATACACTATGGGGATGATCTCTCTGTTTTAAACTGATTCTTTGTCAAATAGCTGTGTCTTGTTGGAGTCCAAGCCCTTGTACTATCCTCTCCAAGGGACTGGAGACATACCTGGTGCTGCTGTGTGAAAGCCTGCAGGTTGTACACGAACACCTCTTGGTACTGTGGCAGCAGGGTGAGCATCACAGTCAGCCCATTGAGAACCAGCAGGAGGCCTTTAGACAGAGGAGCCTTGTCTGTGCAGGACGGACGGACACACACACACACACAGTGATACAGTCGCCTCCTTCGACGAACAACTTCACATAGCGTTAATATGAGGCGTGTTGACGGAGACAGGGCAGACACACATCCTCCTCAGTAATACAAATGTTTCTGGTTATTCAGAAGATGACCTTTCAACAAATGTAGCTTATTTTCAACAATGACACCATAGCTGACTCAACAGACTAAATGTAAAAGCACAATGTGAGGTTTTTTTTTAATGAACTAAACGTAGAGTAAATGAATGACAGCGACATGCTAGCAGCAGGTAGCTAAGCTATCTGCTGCCGTCGGAACCAGCAGGAGGAGCGGCGAGAGGGCTGCGACCGGCCGGCCGTCGTTTAACGGGGGATCCGGGATACTTACAGAGGCCCCGAGAGCCGGTGGTGGTAAACATGGCGTACAGACGAGTTACGGAACCCAGTCGAAGACCATTAATCCCAAAAGCAGCACGGAACTAACACAAAAACACCGAGATAAAGTTGGAGAGAGGATCCATGCTGTGACTGTACGGAGAAAGAGACAGGGGAAAGGGAACCTCCTACAGGAGCCCGAGAAGCCCAAAAGGTGTAACTTCGCAGTTGTTTGAAATGAGGAGAAAACTGACCTGTCGGAGGCGCTGTTGCTCTTTGTTGAAGATCTCTAGACATTGTTTCAGTGGTAACCTTACCTGCACAACGTGTTTCCATGAAAGGTATTTGAATAATAACGGAAACAACAGAGAATATGGAATATTGATAAGTTGTATCTGTGATCAGTTGCTGAAGATATGCAACAAAATAATAAAACTGATTCAATTGTCTGTTTTTAAGGCTTTTTAATGAATCTAATTTAGTTTACAAATTAAGGTACTTGTAACATTTTAATTGCTAAAACAAAAAAATAACAAAAATGGAAAATGAATTTAGATCTGCAGTGATAAATTGCGACTACTACTACTACTAATAACAATAACAATTTAAAAAATGTATTGTCGAAGTAATGCCGCAAACAAAACAAGCAGGCAAACAAACTAAAAAAAAATTAAAATCACAGTAAAATAATAAGACAAAAACATAGACATACATTAAAATAAAACCTTTAAAAATAAATAATGTGTTTGTACAGTAAAAAATACAACCAGAGAGAGAGTGAGATAGCTGAGGTGAGCAAATGATTTAAAGCAAACCTGTAAGAATCAGCATCAGATCATGGTCCCTGAACACCCCACCGCAGTGCATGAGAGCAGGGTCATCTCCATCTTTGTCTCCCTAAGTTGAGAACGGCTGATCTGACGGCTTCAGCACCCCTGCAGCTTGGATTTAGTGTCTTGCTCACATGCATTACAGCAGGGATGCTGTAGCCAGATGATCCACCTGATGAAGGCCACCCTGCTGTTCTCTAATGCACCTCAGACAGGGTTTTCCCAGGCCCTGAAGCACTGGTCCAATGTTTGATCTTTAGCTTTTGCATCTATGACCATTACCTAATATGTGTTTATGGGTTGGATATACGTAGAAGGAGCAGACAGGGAGTGTTTCATGTCTTAAAGCCATGTGGTCAGCTTTCTGACAGAGTGGTAACCGTGCTAATTATCCTTGGGGCCTTGAGCAGGATGTGGCCAAACAAAGTCCAGATTAATGACTTTTTCGTATGGTCCTCTGGCCTTATGCACACAGTGTCATATCTTGTCAAGGTCCAGACTTCCTTTGCAGGGGCCCTGCTTTGTCTTATACTATAGGCTGCCAGTTTTATTCACATCAAACTGTGTGTATACCTTCATGCCTGGCTGTGATTGCTCCTGAGCCAATTGATCCAGTGCTTATGTTACGTCCAAGTACATTTGAAAAGATATGGCGAACAGCTGTCTAATAGTGTTGCATTTCCCCATCATCCACAGATGCAGTAGCGTGTTGGTTCCCATTGGTTAGTTCCCACCCATTAGGTCTATTTGGCTGCCTGTGGTCAGATGTGACTGCAAAGCAGAGCTCAGGAACAGCTTGCTAATTGTGTTTCAGACCTTCTCTGTCACTGATGTAGGAGTGAGGTCTAAAAAGGTTGCTTTGCCCCTGTTCTCAATCAAAGATAATCAGATTAAACAGCGCAGAGATGTGTGTATGTGTATGTGTGTGTGTGTTTGTGTGTGCTTACCAATAAAGAGACTCCAGATTTGGAGACAGCCTTGACTCCTGCTGTTTGCTTTGTTCATTAAGAGGAGATGAGCAGATGGTTTGCTGGTCTGTTGTGCAGTACACACAGGCGGGAATGCACACTCACACAGAAACACACACACACACACACATGCAAATACACATACACACATGCGTGCTCGATCCTGTCACCTTAGCTTTATCCTCCATTTATCTTTTCCATTACACATCTCTCGGCAGGACAATGCTACTCTGTGAATTGTAAGGGATGTGTATGTGTGTGTGTGCGTGTGTGTGAGATACAAGGGAGCGTGAAAGAGTATAGCAGTGCTGAATGAAGTCACAAACCTTTTTAGTCAAGACAGCCTCTGAGGTGGTCATCTGAAAAGCTGATGACTCATTCACACATTCATTTATGTGAATCACTGCTATTCACTTGTCAGCCACTCTGTATTCAGGAAGAATTGCTTGTAACAGAGGTATTGTTTTAGTCCTGCATCATAGCTTATCTGCCTGTGTCCAGGAAATGGCACACCGCACATTAAGACAAGGTTGCATGAGCAAAATCTGGCCTACTGCAAAAAAAATGTTTGGCACAACAAATTTAGAACAATGTGAAACATATTACTTAGGACTAACTTAAGACTTAATATTGCTAGCCAATTAGGATTCTGAGCATCCACTGTTATGTTCCAGAGGAAATCATCTTCTTAAAATATTTCTAAACAATCAATTTTGAGCAGTGTTTGTGATCCTTGACCCCTTATTTATTATGCATTCATCCCTTAGCCCTATGCTTCAACGGGGGAACACTTTATGTAGTTTTGCATGTCTCCAGCCACACACACTCTTTGCTTTAAATGGCCTTGAGCAGTCCCGACCTCAGTTTATGATCTCCTATATGTGTGCAGAAATACCTTCTTTCAAATTCTAAATTACAAGTTGAGCTACAATTGATTTATATCACCAGACATTTGCAGGGCTTAAATCCAAAAGCGAGTCAGAAAATATTATTCATTAGTTGAATTAGATATCTCCTGCAATGCTAACATTTGGCAGGCAATGATTATAAATTAGCCACACATTTTTCACACAGCAAAAGTGTCGGATCTTTTTTAACATAATTCTTTGTCTATTTCTTTACTTATCTTTCTACAGATGTATCTAAAATGTGCTGTTTACGATTTATTGAAGCAAGTTTTGAGGTCCCTCAACCTTCTCTACCACGATGGGGAGAAACGTAATAAAAAATGTGTGCAGCCGCAGACAGAAAGAGTGCACCGTCATCATGTTTCACTAAAGGACAGCTTACATGTGACCCTGCTCACCACCTTCCCGCCTGTCCGTCAATACTTATGTGTATGTTTTTGGAGATGTGGCAAGAATCAGTGTCACATCACTCCCCACACCCTCACATATCTATAAACATGCAATGCACACACACAAAACAAATCTCAAGGGTTTACTGCTTTGACACAAAAAAAACAACTAAACTATAATGTAAATGCACATTTCAGATAGGTGCCATGTATTTCAGAAAAATCAATAAAATATGATAAATAAAATGAATAATAAATGGTGTCAGAGACTTCACTTGTGAAATAAAGAAATACGCACAGACACAATTTAATAAAAAGGATTTGTATTGTTTGTATTGTTAAACTGAAACTGCACTACTGCATAACATACACAATACAAGTCATTTACTGACTGTACAACATGCCATTATGTTTTTTTGATAATAATAATAACAAAAATGATGACTATATATATGTACACAACTCTGTTACAAGTTATATTCATCACTTGTGTCCAGATAAACACTGACAAAAAAACAACAATGGTCATCTTCATCTAGGATCTAAAAACCTTGATTGAAAGAAACACAGTCAAAACACATCATCAGAGTAAAGTACTGTTCCCACTACGGCGAGATTTGGTGATAAATGCAATAAATTAAACGGGAGAACAATGGAAAAGTTCAAATGTCACCCTTGACATGTAGGGGAGTCCTCTGGACGAGGTGGAGCTGTATCTCAGATGCCACCGCGCGACTGAGCATGCCTGTCGAATGTATTTCTCATAAAAGGAGGAACCTTCGACGCTCTGTTCTTCCATTCATCTCTCCATTCATCCATCCATCCTTCCATCTCATCTTCAATACATCCCGGTGGTCTGCAGGAATACTCTGCCCTCTGAAACCCACAAAGAAATTTTGAAATTTATAAAACTAGAAATCTAAACTCTACTGATATAAGTTGTAATGAATGTAGACGGATTCCTTAGGGGCACAGCACAGTGAATGTAACAGAAGGAGGAAAAATGCTGAATGCTATTAATGTATTCATTTAAATATTGAACAAGGTCCTCTACAACCTTGACCAAATCATTAATAAAAGATCATTATTAAGTAAGGCTCAGTTGAAAGTGTTTTTCGGCCCCTGATCCCTGTTTTTGGCGATAAAACTTCCTGGCACAAAGGAACCACATCCTGCCCTGCTGTCTGACAGACAATTCCCCTTTAAATGATTTATTACTGGGTGTTAATTATGCAAATGATGTCCAAACAAACTCGTCATGAGGACAATTAAGACAGCCGTTAATTAGTGGCCAGTTCTCTTCTTGCTTCACTGACATTCAATTAAAAATTGCCTTTGAACAAGCATGCTGTCTGGTACGGCGGTCCTGGCACGGTGCGAAGCAGAGGTGGGCTGGAACCATGCACTCATTTGATGAGGCCGGGCTACAGATCACGGCCATTTCTTTTTCTGACTGTTTAAGATGTTACATGTGGGATTTTCTCATTAATCTATCCCTGTGAAGACAATAATGTTGGCAAAATAAATATATTAAACGCCTGTCTCCATTAAAATGGTAGCCCCGGTGAACTGCCTCACGCTTCATTTAATTTTGTTCAATTTCTCAGGAGTGGTCTCCCTGTGAAATCTTTGAAAACCCTTCCGGTAGACTGGTCAGTTAAGCTTCAAAAGCAGCAAGTAGGTGAAATAATGAAATATGTTCTCCTAGCTCAGTTTAAAGGAGCTAAACAAATCCCCAGCAGCAGGTATATCACTGTTTATTTCACTATTCTTACACCAAAATGGCATTTTAAAGTAAGCATCACAGTCAATTTACCACTGCTAGTAAGTAAATTATGGCCACAAACATGGTGTAGCCCCTTCACAAATGTATTTTTAAGAACTAGACTCAAACTTAGCCTGTATTACTCTTTTCATGGAGACTAGCTTGAAAAACCTTTATGTTTAATGCTTTTGCTTAACGTGATCATTTATATTTTCTATTCTTAGTTAGAAGAGCATGGCACACAAATAAGAAAAAAGACACCTCAAAGCTCTATAATTAGTTTGTTTGTCTTAATTTCCTTTGAGTTGTCATTTAGTGACAGAACGTTTAAGCAGTGACAGCAGCTTTTCTGCTTTTCTTTTCTGTCTCACAACCACACCATTTCCACTGAAATGGAAGAAGACAGCTACATACTGAAGAAGCAGTATTTGTTACACCTGTACCTTGTACTGTTGCCTTGGAGTCCAGCCTGTTGTCATCGTGGTTGCTCCCATCCACGTCCTGGGTCACGGATTCTGTGTGAGGAGGGGCTGCTGATGATTGATGGCCTGTAGTTTGGTCATTAATTAATAAAGACACTTAATTAGAGGCAAATGAACAGCCAAGGCTATGTTGCACTGAAGGACTGGACTAAATGGTGACATTTAATATGAAAATGAGAATTACGCTGGCTGCAATAACTTTAAGCCAGAAAATAACACATTTACACTATCTCCAAAAAGAGTCCCTGTGTCTGTACCTGTGTGTGTGTTGGCCGTGTGCAGCAGGGTGTGCTCTGCCTGATCACGGAGTTTGACCTCCTCCTCCAAGGCCTCCTGTAGTCTCCTCTTATTCCGCTTCTCCTTCTTCAGTCGCTTCTGGATCAGAACTGAATACAGGAAGAAGTCAGAAAAGGTTACAATCAAATTATTCAGATGATTCTAATATTTTTATGGTTGACTTTGTTTGAATCCATTGCTGTAGGAATTTGTTTATTATATTTCTGTGTGGCCTCCCTGTTTTCTGACCTACCTGGATCTTTACGTCAAGATATTTGAAGGACTTTGAAGGTATTGTGGGCTTGTTTGTTGTGTACACTAGATTCATGTAGGAGTTTGTGACAAAACAAAGGCATCACAGCTGGTCTAAATGATCAGAAGCCTACGTTACTGTTTCCCCACACACTGTCACCTGCAGCAGGTCAGCAATCATGTGACTGGCTGGTCCGGGTCGAAGTCTTACTGTCACTTTCCACCACATGTGTGACGGTCCTTCATCTCGCTGTATGTAACAGCTTTTGTGAACATGCCAAACTTGCTTTAGTTTGTAGTACACTGCCAAAATCAGTCCAATTTACCTCTGCAGACGCTTTGAGGGGTTAAATACAGTAGGTGCCCTCACATCCTTGTCTGATTTTCAAGTGATTGGACGTCCTGTCAGCTTACAAGTGGATTAGACCACCAGTGTTTAGGTGTAAAAATCAACACCTTGTCAGTGTTTATAAATACATGAAGGGAAATTTAACTCTGATAGTTTTGAATAGTAGCTCTATGAGGAAGTGAAACAACACTCCAATCAACACTTGCCAACTAGAATAATTTCCAGGGAAAAAAAACAAACTAAAATTAACATTAACTGAGGGTGTATTCTGCTGTTGAGTGTTTTCTCCCAGAGACGCTGCACGCCATGCTTGGTGCGTTGCGACCTACCTCTGTTTTTCTGTTCCATGCTAAGCTGTCTCTCCAAGGTCTCTCTCAGCTCCCTCTCTCGGACCAGCTCCATCTTCAGCTCCGTTCTCTCCAGCTGGTCCTGCTTCTCCTGCGCCCGGGCGTTCTCTATGGCAACCCTCAGCAGACCCTGCTTGGAGACACACAGGCACACATCAACAGGTTACACACTGAACAACAGCCGAGCAGAGATCCCTTACCTCACCTAATCCTGAGTAAATATTTCTGCACTTTAACAAAAGGTAGTGTGTTTCTGAACTGTCAAGGTTAAAATCATTCAAAATGAGCAGCAGAGCACACAAAACCACCTCATTGTAAAAAGATCAAAAATGTTTTGGTTCTTCCTCAGGCAATGTTTTTACTCTAATGTTTTACTCGGGTGCATAATTCCTGGAAAAAAGAGATTTCTGCCTTCACATCGGGGTCAGATGAGGTTGAAAACACGTTTTTGTCCCTGTGAAAACCCGGCAAGAGAGTGCTTTCTTTCATTGTGACTCTGCTTTAACAAAGACACGTAAAATCTGAGAAGCAGGTCAGCACACGCCCATCCCAATTACTGCATATCCTAAATGTCTGCCTTGTCTGCTATTTACCATTTCAGGAAATCCCAAAGAGTGGCTCATCTCCCTTCCTATTCATCTGAAAGTATAATAATAATAAAGCCCCGGCAGAGCCTCACCTGGATGTTCGTGAGCAGGGTCTCTATGGAGGACAAGCCTTCCGGGAAGATGAAGGGAGTGTGGTGGAGACCTGCTGGGAGCTTCTGTCCCGCGGGGTAAGATACCCTCTCACAGCTCTCCCTGCCTGATGGGGGTTTGTGGTAGACTTGTCTATCACAGCTCTCCCTGCTTGTGTGAGTGGCCAAGGAGCTGTTATCTGGAGGGCAGAGAGACATTTTGATGTCTTGTCGGTAAAGTCAACATTCTTCTGGTTGAATCAGTCTAACACAAAAGGCTTACAGTTTACTATGCAGACATATTCTCACTGTCAACAAAACCCATGAAAAGACCAAAACCAACAATGAATTGATCTGCTGTTGTAAATAGTCAGTAGTGCACAACTGAAGAAAGTCCTCAATGGAAATGCAGTGTTTACTCCTGTTTGAGTAACATCTGCTGCTTTAACAAAAAACATGGCCTTTTTTAAAAAGTATATATTTGTGACCCATTTTTAAGATTTATGTCTTCAGTAGGAACAGATGGCCATGGGGGTGAGCACCACATACAGGGTAGGGAATTTAGAAACTATTTAGAGGTGGACAAACATTGTTTTTTTTTGTCTTTTCTTCTTCCTTAAACATGTATACAAAGTATGTGACTTTCTTTTCTGAAATAAAGAAACCTTCAAAATTAACATTTTGAAAGCATCTTAAAGGTCACCAGTATTGTTTTTGTCTTTTTCTGGTTCTTATAAATTTGTGGTTTTTACATTTTGCATCTTTATTTTTATACACTGTTGACTCTATATTAAATTACATTTATCTGGCAGATGCTTTTGTATCAGTGCATTCAACTCCAGCAGGACATAGAGATTTTTTTGTTCTTAATCCCTCCTGTAAAGGACTTTAAGAGTCATGTTTTGAAAAGAGCTGTTTTTCTTTTGTTTTGTTTTTTTGTCTTTATGTGAGCAGTCTCCACTACTACCACAGGCATACAAATTCTTTCCTGTTTAATATATCGTTTCCAACCATTCAGGTCTTGCATTTGTTTCAAACCTGCAAACAGATCAGAACAATATGTAACCAAGGTTGAATGCAAATTTAGATAATTTGGAGCTTACTAATACATTTACTTAATTTCTTGTAAACATATCAAGCCCAACAGTAAATAGGTGTTTACACTAATTACTGTGCGCGTGTAGACATACACAGAAGTCCTGGTTTGGGGTTTTGAAAATGTGGTTACCCTTTATTAGATGGCACTCTGCCTATTGATAATGCATCACAGCTTGACATCTCCCATAAAAACAGCTAAGAAGCTGCATTATGGATGACCATCTGTTTGTAAACCTGAGAACTGCGTGTTCCCGATTCGTGACAGTGGGGGAGATGAAGATTAGCCATTTTCTGCATTTTTTTTCCACATCAGGCAGTTGCTCACTTTATGCGTTTACTGTCATCCGAGCCACTGAGGACGGAGACGTCCTGGGAGTCCGGCGGTTATTGGAGCAGAGACGAGTGCGAACGTGCGATGTGATATCTGGCACTTTTCTCTGTCTGTGACAAATGACAGTGTTTTCTCCACTTAGCTGACCACAGCATCTTCTGCTCCAAATCCACCCACCTCCCCTACTCCGCCTCGGCCTCACGTCTTGGCAACTGTCACATTCAAGGTGTTTCACAGATGAGAAGCAATACCCCCCCTCCTCCTCTTTCTCCCTCTTTCTTGCTAAAAGCATTGCTCTGTAGAGAAAGGTAATTAGCAGGTGCTGGCGAGCTCAGCGGAGGGCATCCAACTACACTCCCGTGGCTCACATACAGACACACACACACATTCGTAGCCGCTGAAGTGCGCAGTCAGCAGCGTGGGCTCCCCAGGCTCCTTGGATGTGACTGATCCTTTATTGAGTTACTGTTTTACGCCTACTTTACCTCACACTCACACACACGTTTGGCATAAATACACACATACACACACACACACGGCTGCCAGCTCGTTTGATCATTTACCCATCTCCCTAACCAAGGTCACTGTCTGTTTTTCTCTTTTCTCCCAACTTCATCTCTCTTATTCCTCTCCCACCCGTCCCCAGGGCTAATGAACTTCACCACGTGAAGACTGCCAGTCAGCGGAAGAGAACAGGAGGGAGGGAGGGAGGAAGAGAAAGAGAGAGACAGAGAGAGAATAAAATTCTGCTGATGTTTGGTTAATGGGAGTGAGGTGTCAGGGATGGCCTCTGATCTTTGCTGCATGGATACGTTGTTCAAAGACCACTGAAACAGCACACACAGCCAAAACTGGCTCACATACACACACACTCAGAGATTATCATACAATAGATTGATAGAATGACAGTGCTGAAGTGCTCTTTGAAACTCAGACGAATCCAAGATAAACCTATCCTGTGATGTTGTAGGTCAAACACAAAAGCCTGCGATCCAGCAAATGTACATGTGTTTCATTTGCATGCAGCAAAATCAATTAAAAATCAATTGCATAAATGCGATGTGTGATGCATGGCATTCACGTTGTGGTGCCATCGCTGCTTTGTCAATATGTTCACAGATACCTGACAGCATCTGAAACCTTACCAAGGAGGCCTTTGTGATTTTTAGATTCGATTACTGAATAATCTGATTCAGTATTAGAATACATTTACACAGCCGCGTGCACACACATACAAACTCTGTTACTCTCCCTCTCTCTCTCTCGCTGTGGATTTCTGCTGACTGTTTGTCCTTGAGCAGTCCTCATTAAGCTAATGCAAACCTCCCTGACAGAGAGAACCAAACAACTGACGTTGCAGCGCCGTGGCAACGCGGGCCCTAACGACAGGGAGGCGGTCGTTATGCAGATGAGGTCCAGCTGAGAGCGCGGGAGGCCGCCTGGCTCGTTAGGCCGCGGCCCGGCAAATGGCTCACTAATGTAACACTGCTTCCTGGTCTAATGGAGCCCTGTTTTGCAGAATTATTTGTCTTTGCTCTCCGCGGGAAGCCAGGGGGGCCACCGACAGCGAGGACGAGAAGAGGAGGAGAGAAGTGGTGAGCCTGCGAATCCTTATCGACCTGTTACTGAGATATTTCTTTCCTGTCAAACCCTTTCCTCTTTTAAAATATATAGTGTTAAATAAACAATCCCACAGTTTCCACAAGTGTGAGTATAAATGATGACATAGATGGATGGATTGAATGGAAGCTGAGTGCTTGTTGTACTCTGTATTGAAAAGGAAATTGATTTGTCCAAGAAATAATCATTACTCATTAATAATCATTGAATGATTAATGACCATAACAAGAAATTCTCCGAAAACAGCAAGAACTTGACCCTTTAAAGTGAAGCTGACAATGTCATTCTATAATTTGTGTAATGTAAGACAAGTTACATTTGTCTAAAAAGCAGAGTTCGGGTAAACCAGATCCAGTGCTGACTCTAAGCTATACAGACATAACAGTGTATCTTACCTCTGTCAGTGTGGCCCCTCTTGTTCTCCTTGCTGTGTTCCACTGAACTCACATCCGTCTCTCTGGTCCCCTGCACCAAACCAGGGGAATGTCCCAACACACTGTGACTTGACGACAGCCCGTTGTCGAGTGGGTCTGGACGGAAAATATACAAAGTTAAAAACATTATAACTCACACATACCTTGCAGGTATTGTTAAAGCTGAAGCATCCTTCATTTTTTGTGAGAATACTTTCACGTTACCTGCACAGATCACACAGGTAAGTACGTACGTGTGGTTTCTGCAGTGCGTTCTGTGTGAGACGGTGAACTCGACACACTGCTGCTGTGATTGGATGACATGTGAGCTTCCTCCAATGAGGGAGAAGGGGAGGGGCTGTCACGCATTCGCTCCTACCAAACAACAAAAAATTATCATCAGCGGAAATATAAGGCTTAGAAAGTAAAAAAACATACAAATAAAGAAGCAATATTTTCATACAAAGGCAGAAAGCAGTAACAACAGAAAACATAAAACGTTCTTAATGCCTTTTAGTGCATTTTATTTATTTTAACCAATTAAAAACTGTCACAGGCCATACATGACACATGCTCCTACGCTAGTCTAATGTTGGTTACCTTTTAGCTAGCTGTCTTCTTTTTCATCATGACTGAAAATAGGTACTACCGTCTCATTTAGTTATGATGCATAACAAACTGATTTACCAACATCAACATGTATATTTTTCAATTACATAGAAAGCTAAGGGTAAAAGAAAGTACATTTAGTTTAAGCTAAGGCTAGCCAGTGTCTGTCTTGCTCACCTGGCTTTACCTTAATATAGCACTTTTGCTTTGTGCGGCAGAGTGAAAATCCAGAGATATTCACACAAATGATATGTTGTTATGGCATAATAATTGATTTTATGGTAAAACAGAGTTCAAGACTCAGTTTTCAACAAATACGTAGTCGCTGAATTTTGGCTTTGTAGGATAGAATTGAGTCCTCCACAAATCACCTATGGTCAAAAGAAAATGATATTCTTGGGAACGCTAATACAAAATACATATAATGGTGTTCTTTGGTCTTTACAGGGAAATTTGGCGCTTGTTTCAATGAGCCTCGTAAACCATCTTTGGGTTCCAGGCCAGGATTTCAAAAACAATGGTCTGCATAGTTAAAATTATGACCGGAGATGATACTTCCTGTGACTGACGGGGACATGGTGTGATACTTTTTGAGGACTCAATGTGACATTTTTTACCAATATATAATCCTCCCAAACTTCCTTTAATCAGTCTTAGGAGTTAAATGTCCAAAACATAGGGCTGTTTTTAAGCCAAGTGACCAACTTGGCTAAGAACGTCAGAGTTTCTGTCTGTAGGCAGGATATCTCAAAAATGTATAAATAGATATGGGAGTGGCCTTTAGCCAAGGAACAACTGATTACATTCTGGTAGTGATCCAGAACTTGGATATCCACCAGTAGACAATCACCGGTTTTTAGCCGTAACCACTGGATAAAAGAGAGACAGAAACTTTATTCTAAATTTTGCACGTAAATGATCAAAATATTAAGTTAATCTAAAATTTAAGTCTTTGGACGTTAAAAGTTCTTCAGTTTTGTGACGTCTTTTGTTTTTCCAAATATCCCATTTTTCTACATAACTAAAAGTCAAATTTTAATGTCATGAGTTCCCGGGTGTCATGTGGACTCACTGGCCGGTGGTCAGGTCCACCAGGCTGATGGGCCTTTGAGTTCACCTTAATGACGGAGGTGGGAGCCCTGGCAGGGGGCTTGGCGTGGAGGTGCGCCACGTTGGCCATGCTGGCCAGTGTGCTCAGTCGGTTCATCTGGCCCATCGCCATGGAAACGGAGGCCGGCGCCAGGCTGGCAGGGATCAGAGGATGTGACATCATCATGAAGGGCAACTGATCCAGAACTAGTGGGGGAGAAGAGAATAAAATAGAATAAAATAGAGAAGTATTGAAGAGGAGAGAGCACAGTAGAGTACAGTAAGAGTCTGTTGCTTCTCAGATATGGGCCATCAAAGCTGCACTATACATGCACCCAACATGAAACAGGTCTCGTCTGTCTCTTCTTTCATTTATGCTTCAGTTGTATTTATCCATCACAACTTAAAGGCCTTCCTCTGCTCAGTCTTGTGGTGTGTACTGAACTGAAAACCCACAGCGTCTCCGGTTCTCTGATGACAGGGTTGAAACTGGACACCAATATCATTCCTCTGTGATGTCAATATTACCTGGATGACTGCTCCGCTTCTGAACCACGACTCGTAAATATATGTGTATATGCGTGTCGAGGGATGTCGAGTGTGGAAAAAAAGATGAGCGAGGGAGGAGAGTGGAAGAAAATGGAAGTGCGAGAAGACATGACTGGAATACCCTCATCCTCCTCATTACAACCCCAAAATGTAAAGATAATGATGGCCTGAATATGTTGTTGTGATGTTAAATGCTCGAGTATCACCTGCAAAAACACAAATTCAGCCTCTCTGGAATTTAAGACAAGCTGGCTAACTTTTCATTCAATGCCCCGGTGTTCTTGACAATAATCCAACACGTTTTCAGCGGTTCAAACCAAACTCTTATTATCTCGGCCAATCTGTTGTTCGCACTCCTCTCTTTAAGACAAGCATCCACTATCTTTAAAGAAAATCCTTCCTCTCAACAGCACCCTAGTGGGTTGTTGCAGTCCCTCTATTCATGAAACAAACAATCCTGTTAAGGG